GTAAAAAACCCAAAATTTTATATTTAATCCTAAGCGATGTTTTTTTGAAGCCGTTTTTTCTAAGTGATTGCTTTTTTTTCGATATAGAGCCAGTAGGCAAAAACACACGATTAAAACGCCCCCCCAAAATTGAACAAATTTTTTAATAAAGTTTGAATAAAAAAAAACAACCCAAAAGAGGCGAAACTCGTGTCGTATTGTCGTCGATGGTGTGTCTTACCTGGAATAGTGGTGTATGAAGTAGTGGTGACGGAGTAAGTGCATGCAATAGAGGGAGGGCGGGAGGTGCTATTCAATCCAGGTAAGACACATCATTGTAATTAGTTAGCGGAAGGTTGCAAAGTAATAAATTATTTATTATAATGGATTTCCGCAAAGTAACGCCTGATTCTATCAATTATTCTTTATATTTGTCATCATCATACATTTCTGAGCTTTGTTTATAATTTCAAGTCACTTTCTTATTTGGAAGATATTTTAAAATCGATCACTAAATTGGACCCGAAAAGATACACGAAAGTGAGTCAATTTAAAACATAGTAACAAAATGGTTCTATAGTAAAGATTGATGATTATTAGTTTTTAATAATAAGGTTTAATCGTCATCAATCTTAAAGTATTGAAAACTACCTCAATTTTTTATGCAATTTTCTTCAAATTATATATATAATGCATGTTACCATGGGGCACCTCGGTGCCGAAAACCGAAAATGTTTAAATAATTGCAAGAAATTGTTATTTTCAAATGAAATAATTTATAATTCCGAAAATATTTACTCTATCGTAAATATTCATAGGACCTTTTTTATTTGTATTTCATGGGGAAATTCATCATTTCATTTCAAAAAAATATCCTGTTCAAAATAACAATTCCTTGCAATTTTTTAATAAAATTCAGTTTCATATGTATTGACCATGTTGCCCCATGGCAACATGCATATATTTTTTTTATTTTTTTTATAGAAGAGGGGGCAAACGAGCATGTGGCTCACCTGATGTTAAATGACTACTGCCGCCCATGATCAACCGCAACACCAAGGGAATTGCAGGTGCGTTGCCGGCCCTTTAGAAAGGAGTAAGCTCTTTTCTTGAAGATCCCCAGGTCGTATCGGTTCGGAAAAATCGTCGGTGGTAAACTATTCCACAGAGAGGTTGTACGCGGAAGAAAACTCCTTTTGAAACATACTGTGGTGGACCGCCAAGCTTCCAGATGGTATGGATGGTATCAGGACGTTTGCCGCGTAGTGCGTTCACGAAATTTGGCGGCTGGGATTAATCCGAACAATTCCTCAGAGCACTCCCCGTGATAGATGCGATAAATTACGCAAAGAATGCAACATCTCTTCGCAACGCCAGTGAATCGAGCCGATCGGAAAGCACTCGGTCGTCAACGATTCAAGGCGCTCTGCACTGGATGCGGTCAAGTGGAAGGAGCTGGTACTGGGGAGCCCAAGCCCAGAGATGGGAGCAGTATTCCATGTGCGGCAGAACCTGCGCCTTGTAAAGTTGCAGGCGGTGTGCCGGCATGAAATACTGTCCCGCTCTGCTGAGCACCCCAAGCTTTTAGAGGCCAATTTGGCCTTCTCTTCCAAGTGACCACGAAACTACGCGTCACTCGATATGTCAACGCCGAGCATTCCGATACTGGCTGAGGCAACAAGGGGAGTGCCTTGAAACTGAGGAGATACGACAAAGGGGTTCTTTTTAGCGGTTAACGTGCAAACTTGTGTCTTCTGGAGGTTAAATTGGACTAGATTTAGTCGCTCCCAATCCGAAACTCTGTTCAGCAAGGACTCGACTCCAGACACAAGTTTGTACCGGCACTCGGAGACGTTTTCCCGAGAAATATTGGCTCGGCCGGTGTAAAGAGCATCACCAGTGCTGTCATCTGCATAGCAATGAATGTTACGGGTTTGCAACATATCATTGATATGCAGAAGAAACAGCGTTGGCGATAGCACGCAGCCTTGTGGAACACCAGCATTAATAGACTTGCAATCGGAGCTTGCACCGTCTACAACGACCTTGATGCTCCAATCTGTCCGATCAAGAAAGCTGGTGATCCAATCGCACAATTTCTCGGCAAAGCCCATAGGAAGGGAGCTTCGAAAGAAGCGCTTTATGCCAAACCCGATCGAAGGCCTTCGCAATGTCCAAACTAACGGCCAATGCCTCCCCCTTGGACTCTACTGCCTCCGCTTATCTGTGAGTTAGGTAGACCAGAAGATCACCAGCTGACCGACCACGGCGAAAACCGTATTGGCGGTCACTAATCAGCTGGTGATCTTCAAGGTACCTCATGAGCGGGCACTTTACAATGGACTCCATTGTTTTGGAGAACAAGGAGGTGATGGCGATTGGCCGGTAGTTGGACGGGTCTGAGCGGTCGCCTTTTTTAGGGATCGGGTGGACGTAAGCCGTCTTCCATGATTTTGGGACTACGCCTAGGGAGTAGGAGCACCGGAAAAGACGCGTTAAAACCGGTGCCAACTCTGGAGCACACGTCCTCAGCCCAATTGGGGGGATTCCGTCAGGCCCACTCGACTTGTGGATGTCCAGGGAGAGGAGTGCTTTGCGAACCGAGCGCTGTGTGAACTGCACTTCCGGCATGGAGCACTCACACCGCGTGATGGTCGGCGGTATACTCCCCCCGTCATCGAGAGTCGAGTTGGACGCAAAGAAAGAGCCCAGAAGATCGGCTTTCTCTTTTGAGGTATGGGTCAGTGAGTCGTCCTCCCTGTGCAGAGATGGAAGAGATGGCTGACAGAAATTCCCCTAGACAGCCTTGGCGAGAGACCAGAATGCACGAGTTCCAGAAGGAAGGTGAACTATTTTCTCGCCAATTCTGCCTAAGTGCTCTGACTTTGCCTTGTCAATGACTCTTTTGAAGGACTAGAGGCGGAATTATACTTTTTTTTTTTAGAGCGCTGGTGTTTACATCCCGGGACGCTGATGCGTCAGCCCAGGCTCGGTAGCACTCCTGCTTATAGCATGATGCTATTTTACAGGAGCGACCAAACCATGGCTGAGATTTGCCTCCAATGTGCACCACAGAGGAAGGAATAAAAAGTTCCATACCCTGAAGTACCACATCAGCGACAGAATCCGCAACAACGTTGGGATCGTCCGGCGAGAAGCAAACCCGCCTCCAAGGGTAGGATGCAAAGAAAGACCGCATCCCATCACAATCGACTGACCTATAGTGCCAAACACGGCGGCAGCCTGCAGAATGCGACTGCGATTTCAGCGTGAGTGGCACTTCACTCCGGACAAGACAATGGTCCGAGGAGCCTAAAGGGGCATCAACGGAAATCTGATATCCGTCCGGGTGAGAGGTCAGCAGAAGGTCCAACAGGGAAGGTGCATGATCCTCCACATCTAGAATCCGCGTAGGCGAAGTAACCAGTTGTGTCAGACCATATGCCAAGGCAAAATCATGAACAGATCTCCCCGCATGATCGGTTAAACGTGAACCAAGCCATTCGGCGTGATGGGCGTTAAAGTCGCCGAGGATCACGATCTCTGCGGAGGGGATCTGCTGTAGCAACGAATCTGTAGCCATTTGGACGTGGTCGAAGAGTCGGTCTGTTTCGGCATTACCGCTATGGGACCTATAGAGGCACCCGTAGACGCGCGGATGGTCGTCGCTGTCTACGCGTAGCCACAGGATGGATAGGTCCGAGCCTTCAAGTCTGCCGAGGCGTCGAGAACAGATGTCTCTCTGACGTAAATGCAAACTCCAGCCCGAGGTACAAAGGAGTGTTCCAGTTTGTACCCCGGGTAGGAGAGGTACGAGACATCAGCCGGAGAGGACACCTGCGTCTCGGTCAGAAAGAGCAGAGCCGGCCTCGCCGTCTCGAGATGGTAGTGGACGGCGTTTAGGTTAGAGTGAAGTCCCCTGATATTGCAGAAATTCGCGGACAGCGTGGCAGGGGTCGCCTTAGTCTTGTTGCTCCATTTGCCCCGAGCAGTTGTAGTCTTGTGAAGAATTTTGCCCCCTCCCCCCAGAATACGCGGGGTAGCCTGAGCACCCACGCTCAGAAGTGGAGAAACATGGTCGTGGATGCTCAGCGAGGGATTCTCCAGGGGTGCTGGTACCCTCCTGGGGTAGTCTATCATTATTTAATTCCGCTACCATGTTGATGGGGGGGGGGATTTGGACCTCCGGCCACCTGTATTCACCAGACGAAACGCGGAAGCAGAGCTTCCACTTCACGCCGGTATTCTGTGAGGTCGTGGTACCACCCCGGTTTGAGCCGGCCCATACGTACAACAGCAAAGCTGCCGCGTGGCTCTACCACTGTTAGAATAAAATCAGTAGGACAATTTAAAGAGAATCGCGTAAAACATTGAGGTAGAATAGTTTTCAGTATTCATGCGCCAATTCCTCCTGGACAATTAAAGATGACTTTGCGTATTCTTCTTTGCGACTACTGCTTCCCATTAACTGGATTTTGAATTTAGATCAAGGTATTAGCACCAATAATTTAGTTGTAAGCAGCGATTACATCGCCGTCTATCGAGGGCCACGCTATATTTTTAGTATTTTCAAGCTTAGTACGATGCCCAGGGAACAAAATATTATGTCTATTACGGCAATATATATAAAGCGGTACATAGTAAAATTATGTAAATTCTTTAAAATTTTAAGCTCATATAATGAGCTTCAATAGCTTATTGTAGTGGTTTCTAGACATATTATTTTTGAACGGTATACTTATTTCTGGGAAATGTGCAACACTGTTGAATAATTTTATTAATTCAATTCAGTAGGGGCAGCGGTCACTTTTAGAAGTGTTATATTTATCATACAAGAAATGAGATTTATATTTGAGTTGAATGAATATTTCACACCCTGGTAAGACAGTGGCTAAACATTTGGTTATAGCACTAGTTGCAACTTCGATATGACTTGCGTATTAAACATTAAGATAAATCTTATAGTGAGATATAAGAAAGTTGTAGTTTTAAAAATGATTTTTTATATAAAATGCATTTTACTATAGCTCTCTTTTCCGATAATTTTTATACAGAAATTTCCATAAACGATAAGATTCCGGGTTTGGTATTGGTCCCATTTTCAAATGCTCATCTATGTATAAAAAGTTCATGGTTTGCTTATTACTTGGCAACCATTTTACATTAAGTTCTGTCGGATCTGGTGTTGGATCTCTGAAATCGGAAAAAATCTTGTAATTATATTAAATTAACTTCCAGCAAATTTACAAATTATGAAGTAAAGTGTATATATTAATCCGTACGGTCCAGCTGCATGGCTCTGTATGAGCTTCTCAAATAGTAAGAAAGATTTACCATAATTGTCAGCAGGCCCAATAACGATCGCAATATTAGCTATATCGCAACCTAGATGCTCTTTGTTTTCTTTGAAAAAAATGAAACGCCAGAATATTAGTGTACTACTTAAACAAAGAGTTAGGTTTTAGTACAGTTATGTGATAAGTAAATATGAACAAAAATCAAACTTACCCATATTTAGCAAAATTAGTCCACAACGATGTCATAACATTGATCATATTTTCGTCTCGTTTAAAGAATGTAAAGGGTAAAAACTGTAATTTAAATAAATAAAATATATCGTCCCCATGGCAAGCTCCATTTTCACCGAAAAAACCTGTTTTAATTTTCATTAAGCTTCTTGCACCCGAATAATTGAAATAGTAATTATAAATTGTCGCGTTAGCGTTTTGAATTAAGAGTTCAGTTTCAAATAAAGATGGTGTTTCAAAATACAAGTGCGTGTACAAATCGGATATGTTTTTAGCTTTATTCAAGCTTATTTTATCTTTACCAAAGTAAAACTCGTGTATTTTTTGCGCCTCCATTTCTGCTTCTTCTTCTGTTTTAAAATGTAAATCGGACGCGAACAAATATCGCTTATTTCTCTGTTCAAGCGTTTCTTCCGTATCATTGTACAATAAAAATAATCCTTCGTTACTATTTGTTCCGTATATAACCGGTACAACCTTAGACTTGTTCGCAAGTAAGTTATAGGGTAAATTTTTTATTACTGATTCTTCACCTGGTATTTCTTCTTCTACACAGGGTAAATGTATTAATTCGGATTCGAAGTATTTTGTTAGAGGTTTGCTTGTTTTCGCTAACACTAATTCTTTAAAATCCATTTTAGAAAATATATTATATATTTCTAAGGGATCTTTAGTATTATAACCTAATGATTTTGCTAAAAGACTTGCTACCTCAATTGGTTTTCTATTTATTACCCAATTTGATAAAGAAGTCCCACTTTGAATTATTGCTCTACTAAACAAACCAGCAGTGACATCGCTAGCCAATAATAATGAAACAGATGTTGCCCCAGCACTTTCACCAAAGAGAGTTATATTTTCTGGGTCTCCTCCAAAAGCCGCAATATTTTTTTTTACCCACCTTAATGCTGCAACTTGATCTTTAAGTCCCATATTACCCGGTGCTTCTTTAATTCCCAGGCATAGAAAACCAAGTACTCCTAATCTATAGTTGAATGTAACAACAATTACACCTTTCTGTATTAAAAAATCTGGGCCATATATTAATTTACCTCCACTACCTAAGATGAATACACCACCGTGGATATAAACCATAACAGGTAGTGGCCGTTCAGCTACAGCGGGTACGTATACGTTAATCTTCAGGCAATCTTCTGAACCAAGAACACCAATAGGTGTAACCTGGGGACAAAAATATATCTCATCTATAGCCTCATAAATGCCATCCCAAGATGGTGCTGGCCCTGGAGCCTGAAATAGAAAATTCATTAATTTATTTTTCAATAGTATGTGGGGCGTGTATCAAGACAAAGTAGCTTTTATTGCAATTTACGTAAAGGTGGCATGAAATAAAAACATAATTTCTTGATGAATTACGGTTGATTATTGATCACTAGCCGATCACTAGATACAATTGTAAGACTAAGATTATCCCTGAACACGAATCTAAATGTTTAAAAATGTATTAAATTTGCAGACATTATGTATTACTGCGCGCATTGGGAGAGTCCCATGTCCAGCAGTTGACTGCAGGCTGTTGACTATTATTACGTTCGATTTGATGTACTATACTATATATTATACTACAGATTATAAGGTCATTATTAAAAGTCGAAAATAGGGTGATCTTCGCCTGAGGACTAAGTAATATAAATAATATAATATCGATTTTATTAAGGAAAATACTGAGACAGCGTTGTTAATATTAATATTATTAAATTATTTTTATTAGCAATGCCAAAATTCTCATTCTCCACTTACACTTTGCATAAACTTCTTATCATACCAAAGTAGTTCACGATGGTGAATATAAATTCTTAATCTTAATCCTAAGTTTAACAATCCGTACCCATAGATATTATGGTAGTGTACTTTCTTTATATGAAAATAATATTACAATACATACACTTATAAGATATTTTGTAATGGCAAAAATACTGAAGAAGGATGTATAATAATATAAAACGTTTAAACGATATAAATTCTCTCTCTACTAACATTGAGTTCAATAAATTAAAGTTGTAAGATTAAGAAGAACAATTATAGTATCATATCACTATCATACTGTCAAAGATCAATCAAACCGTTGCACTAAAGATGCCTGTATCCAGCAATGGAGTTAGATGGCCTGTTAGTGTGATGCGATATAAAATTGCTTTGGAAAAAAATTGCGAATTTTGGAAGAATACGAGGCCAAGACTTAAATTATATGATGACTGAAATAAAATATGTGCATTTTAATCGTATTTATATTATTATAATCGTTAGGAATAACTCTAGCGATCAATTTCCACTATCCCAGTACAGCCCTATAACTTCGATGATTGGATACCTATTACTGTGCGTATATGCTTAGAATTTTCTGCACACAATATGACAACGTAACCAATTATATAACATGGAGCAGAGATCAAAAGCAACAATATTGACCTCCGACAATATTGTGGGAGTACGAATCTACCATAAAAAAGCCTACTCCTTTCTATAAAACTATTAACATACCTCAGATTTATTAACTCTAATAAAATTACAGTACCTTAAAACGCAAGCTGCTGTTTGTAGAAGCATACGGAATGCCAACATATTCAAAAAACATTCCATTCCCACTTATTTTACCTCTTAAAACTCCTTGTTCAATAGTAACTTCGGGGGCCGGTTGGTCAACTATATTCATAACGATCCACGTAAATAGCACCAATTTCTTTTCGTACTTCATTTTCACACGCACTAATATTGCTTCAAGATGTGGCACACACAATTATTTTTAACTATTGTCTTACTAGTTACATTTGTGTCATTGTTTCTGCAAAAATTTGTCGATAATAGCCGCCAGTGGAACCAATAATTGAACCATTATTTCATGACCCATATGACCCTTATTTTAAGAACATTACGTGATATACGTTAGCTATACGAAGTGCTTGCTACGACTACTCGCTGTCGAATTTTTGGTTAAATAAAGATAAGATGTTTTATTGTTTATCTTCATTTTTGTTGTAGTAGTTGTAGTGTTTATTATAAATTATGTTTTTTCTTTCGTATAAACTTGGTAATTATTTAATATAAAAATATTTTTAAAAGCTTGATAACTTTAAGATTATTCTATTTATCGCATATATAGTTTTTATTGCTTTATTGTTTAATTTTTCGTAAGTAAGGTTGTCCCTACTATTATTTATATTTTTTATATCTAGGTTAATTAGTAATACGGGACGAATATGGCAAATTCTCTCTTTATTAGGAGAAGTCTATGCTGATTTCTTAAATTTACGCGAACACTACACATTGAATAAAACTAAATTTACGGATTCTATCGCGTTTATTTAACTGATTTTACTTATTTTTTATTTCCCGACGTTTCGGGTGCTTTACAGCAACCATGGTCACGGGGGGAACTGAGATGTTTGACGTCCCAATGTCATTGTTAGCCCGGCTACCTTCAGTTTTTGAATATTAATTTTTGGTCCGATTTACGCAAAACGAACTTACAGTATCTTGAAGTCTTGCAGTGGTATGCTTGGGTTTAGATTTAATTTTGTTAATTATAGGATCCTAAGCAGATGGCAGCACCCAACCATCTTCTCTATTGAAATTAGGATGTTTTTTAATTTCAATAGCCTCGCGTATGCCCATACTTGGTAGGAATCGGTGTTCTTTTGCGAGGATTTGTGGTTTATCAAATCTGATGTAATGGTGGGGACGATCTTGAACATGTTCACAGACTGCAGACTTCCCATCTGGCCTCCGAGCTGCAGCATGTCAAGCAAGTATTGCAAGACAACAAGCTTCGGATCCCACGCCTACGTCACAGTGACCGAGTGAAGCCAGCCATAGTCGAGCGTGTGCCAGCTGTACTACCATATGTCAGAGGAGTCACAGACAAGGTTGGCTACATCTTGAGGCGAGCTTCCATTAAAACATACTACAAGCCGCCGAAGAAGATTAGTCAATTTTTACCATCCGTCAAGTGTAATATCCCTCTACAAGATGCAGGAGTGTACAAGTTAGATTGTGAATGTGGTCTCTCTTACATAGGTAAAACAATAAGATCCATAAAAACCCGCGTGAAAGAATAATAAGAATACCAGTTTTTACGGAATTTATCGCGTATATTTAACTTTTTAAATACCCGACGTTTCGAACGCTTTACAGCACTCATGGTCACGGGCGGGACTGAGATGTTCAACGTCCATATGTCATAGTTAACCGCGGTTACCATAGATTAAAATTTAACTTTTTTTATTTGATTAAAATTTTAATCTATGGTAACCGCGGTTAACTATGACAAGTATGAACGTTGAACATCTCAGTCCCGCCCGTGACCATGAGTGCTGTAAAGCGTTCGAAACGTCGGGTATTTAAAAAGTTAAATATACGCAATAAATTCCGTAAAAACTAGTATTATTTCAATGCGTAGTGTTCGCGTAAATATAAGAAATCATTACAAAAATTAATATTCAAAAACTAAAGGTAACCGGGCTAACAATGACATTGGGACGTCAAACATCTCAGTCCCCCCGTTACTATGGTTGCTGTAAAGCACCCGAAACGTCGGGAATTAAAAATAAGTAAAATCAGTTAAATAAACGCGATAGAATCCGTAAATTTAGTTTTATTCAAGAAGTTTATGCTATATTATGGTCCTATGCCTAGCAGTGGACTTTTTGCGCTGATATAATGATGACGATGATATATCTACTTAAAGCGCATGCTATTATAATATATTTATTACGGAACTGAGGAATACCAAGCAAGAAATGCTGTCAGACACTTGTAGGTGTTTTTTGATAGCAGAGGAAGTAACGTTTATGTAGGACTTATAAAAAATGTACCAAGAGTTTTTTTTATGTCCAGCATGTAGAAAAAGGTGACTAATGGTATATTAGGTTTTTGATTGTGTAGGTGTTGAGCTAGCCACCATTTGTCACAATTTTACAATTAAACCCACATTTTTTCTACCTTCCCTAGTTATCCTAGCATGGTCAGAATAACGTGCTGCTCTTTGAACTCTGTCTATCCCTTTGGGTATAGCAGGCGTGAAGCTATCTTACTTAAATGAGACACATTCATGGAAACATATGATGTTTGGGCACCCCTTGGTTAAAAATATCTAGACAATTTGACCTCGTTTGACTCCAAGTTACACTTATCGCTTTGTCATTTGTTCGTTATAAACAAAGATAAGCATAAACGTTGCACAATTCCAGTACCTTCCACTCAGACACATTAAAATATTGAAATACTCTTGATTAGAATATGACATATTGGAAAAATAAAAGCAAGCAATAGAAACTACCATTCTGAAGCAATCTGTGGCAAAACTAACAAGGTCTCGTCTGACGGCGGTGATTTTTGCAACGACAATTTTAAAATAAGTTATCTAATTTTTAACGATGCCGACACCGATAACGCAAGTCCATTGCTGAATATAGGCCTCCCACATGGAATGCCACAAAGTACGGTCCTGAGTCACCTACATCCATCGACTTCCGAATAACTTACCAGGTTGTAAGTAACTTGCTCTAATCCATCTAGTGGGGGGTCGCCCTACACTTCGCCTACTGGTACGAAGCTTCTACTCGAAAAAGTTTTTATGCCATTGGTTGCCGGTTCTTTGAGCTATATAGCCGGCCCATTACCACTTCAGCTTACTAATTCGTTGGGTTATGTCAGTTTCTCCGGTTTTTCTGCGTATATGCTTATTTTTAAGGATATCACGCAAAAAACCACGAGCAAAGCCTTCTCCACAGCTCGTTAAGCGGACTTGAACTTCCTCATACAGCTATCAGTAAAGGATAATATATCAGATCCATAAGTCATTACTGGCAACACGCACTGGTTGTACAATTTTCTTTAAAGTGTTGTAGTGTACCGTTTGTGTTTGATGTTTCGTAGTCTCCGGAACCCTAACAAGCTGAGTTGAATCCTTCGATTGACCTCTCGTTCGAAATTGGAATTATCTAATCGAACTATTTGTCCTAGATAAATATAGTCGTCGACAATTTTGAGCGTAGTGCTCCCAACAACTTCCGGCATAGGTGTGGCATGGACTTTACATATGACCTTTGTTTTTCTATGTTCAACTTATGACCTATCCATTAGGAGACAATTTTGAGGCAATTGAGCAGTGCTTAGGTCCTCCAGCGATTCTTTTATAAGGACTATATCGTCGGCAAATCGAAGGTTGTTTTTTTTATAGAATAAGGGTCACAAACGAGCACACAGTCCACCTGATGGTGAGAGGATGCTGTATCCCATAGACATACATCTACCATCCACATTTATCCTAGATTAAGAATAAAAAAAAACAGATGCGCTGTTACCCGTAAGGTCCAAAATGGAATGACTAGTTTTTTAGTAAAAAGGTGAGTGATGTTAATAGCGTATACTTTGCATTCCATTAGCTTGAAAACATCTTCCAATGCAGCGGTGAAAAGTTACTAGGATATAATATCACTCTGTCTTTTATATCTCTGCAGTTGAATAGGTTTCGTACTTTGCTCTCCTCGACTCGAAACGACTCGAAAAGCCATCATAGCCCTACTGTACAAACACTTCAGCAATTCGATATATAGCGACGGTCAGCTTGGAATCGTTGAAAGGACTATACTATATCACCGCCCGAATTTCGACAGAATCGTAGGCTTTTTCGTAGTCCACATACATATAGTGATGTGGTAGATTGTACTTTTAGGTCTTATGTAAAATTTGTCGAAGGGTGTGTATGTGGTCTATGGTGCCAAATTCTTTTCGGAAAATCACTGGTTCGGGAGGCTGGAAGTCGTCCAGTCTGCATGTGAGACGATATGTTATAAATCGCAAAAACTACACCTTGATGCGCTTCATTAAAGTAATCAGTCTTTAGTTCTTCTAGAGAGCCTTGTTATTTTACGCTTCGGAAGTACTGTCACCATAGAGGATACAATTGAAAAGCTTCTGAAGGACTTCAAGTACTGGTTTTCTACCGGTTTTCAATTCGCTAAAGCTCCGCTGTGTTTCCATCCTTGCCAGGGGCGTAACCATTTTAAGGTGCTAGAATCACACTCTCAGAATCATGTTCAGACTGACACCCGGGATATCATCAAAACCTCTCAATCTTATTCTAAATCTCAAGTGTCCCGGTAATGATGCTACCATATTCGGCCTTTAGCTTTGATAGTTAGCTCTAACTGGTAAACAGATCTCGGGCAAAGACATTGGAGCCCTGGTCCCGCTCGATCACTTCTTCAACACGAGCAGTATTAAAGTTGCAAAAGTCGCAACGCATACATTTGGAGATTTTCCTGTATACTGTCATATCCGCTGAAGACTGCTGCTTCATTTCCCTATTGAGAGCTATGAGATTGAGAGTGTGATTGGAGAGTTTTTCAATTTTTTTGCAACGACTCTTGCAAAACTTAGCCCCGACTGCATAGTTTCCACGAGCTTATCATTCATATCGTCCACTATATTAGAAATTTATATCTTCTAGGCACTGAAAACGACTTTGTTACTCCAGTTGAAAGTTTTCTGGGCTTTGGGTTAGACCATGAGAGGGTCCCCCTGGGGGTTGGGGGGTTACCCCAGGGGGGTAGCAGGAGCATCATTAAACGTGACTTCTCCAACTTAACTTTGACGTTCAGTGTGCCTCCCACCATTCGGTATTCACTGCCAGTTTTTACCCCCGCAATCACTAAGACTCCGAACAGAGAACAGTTGCCGCCTGGTCGTCATATT